TATTTTTAGCAAATTTCTTTGAAAAAATTTCGTAGGCATAAGGCCTAGGAATAGCTAGGTATACAGTAATTTCATTTTACAGTAGTTTGGAACGATATTAGGAGTGGGGTGGTGGCAGTGGCCTACTAGGACTACAATTTATTTGAAGCTATCTTGGGTCTGATCGTCCACACCAGTTGGGCCCAATCGTCTGTCACCCGAAGTTTTCATTACGATGATCAAGAACGTATACCATCTAGGCCCTAGGCTAGGCTTAGAATGCTCTGCTACGTATACTACTACCGCATAACAAAGAAAGCGACCCACCCGGTGCATTCTTAAATTGTACACACATTATTAAAATGTATTAGACGATAACACGATATCACTGACTGAACGATCTACCACCCACGCATCGCAGTAACTACTGTACTGAACTAGGCCTAGCTTAGGCCTAATGTTTTTGTGGAAAGTTAGATACAGCGTGACCACTCACAATTTTTGATATACCCAATGACTGGGTCGAAATTACCCAAGATTCATCAAAAATTGCCCAAAATTACCCAAGCTTCCTGAAAATGCATTAAAATTTGAAAAATACGTGTTTTTTGCATGTATAGTTCCCCTTTTAGTTCAATTTATAAACCATTTTTTATTGTAATTGTTTGTGTTAATTATTAAAATTAATATTCATGAGGTAATAATACGGATAGAAAAATACGCCCTCAGTCGGCCAGTGTTATCAGTTTAGATCAGTGATCAAGTTTTATTTTGTAATGCATTAAGGTAAGATCAATGGCAACGCAAATCATAAATAAACAATTCTGAACCCATGTTTATAGCAATTAACAGTCAATTAACAATGTTATGTGCACTTCATTGAGTTTTGCTTACTTGAATGGACTGAAATATACTTTGTTACTTCTTAATTCTTCCTCTATATTTAATTTTCTTAGTAAAAATAAAATACCCAAGGATTTGAACGGAATACCCAAGAACCCAAGACTAAGTCAAAATACCCAAGATCTTGGGTACATACCCAAGCAGTGGTCACGCTGGTTAGATAGTCGTTATGTACCCGACAGTCGGCTGCCTTTATATCTTCACTTCACTGGTCTTTTTCTTAAAATGATACTACACCAGGCTGTCACAAAATCATAATTATGAGATTATTATTTCATCACGATTAAAAGAGAAAAAATGTGGGTCTTCGTTTTTCGGGTCTTCCTTTACATTAGTTCTGGCCTCGTTGGTACCATCATCATTTTATCTAGAGACGAATCTCACAGGCCCAGCTCGTCCTGTCCACTACACCAGCTGTAGGTGGTTAATTCATGTTTCGTCGCGCTAATCAAATTTCTCTTTGCTCTTTGGAATACAGACGGGCTACTCCTCTTTTTTGTGACATTCACTTGTTTTTAAAAATATGTAAACGTACCCGCGGCAACTCCCATACATGAAGCTTATCCAGGTATACATGGTCTTCAATTTTGTGTCGCAGTTGCGAGAGCATGACAGCTTTTCCGTCGGCCTAGGCGTAGTGGTGGGCTGATAAATGTTCTAGTCTTTAAAATACTGAGCCTCGCGTGAACCTAAGGCGGTTCGCAAACCAAATACTTTCTAGACTGCAGCTTTTCCATGCACTCGATCTTGTGCGCAGAACAAAACATTCTCTGGAATAGCTTTTTTGGCGTTTTGGTTGGTGTTTTCTTTTCCTCCATTAACAATGTACCACGATATTCCACACACCTGCAGGTACGGTACCATGTCCCAACTTTGATTGGTTGACCTTCCGTCATAACATTCACCCTATTGCCAAATACGGCATCCTAAAAGTTACGTCATGCTTGTCACGGCCAGCGTTCTGCATTCGATTTGACTCACTCTTTTACAAGTCTCTAATTCTCATCAAAAAAGTTTCTCAACATAAACTGACGCTGGTGGCGCTTTCCAAAATGCGCTAATGTACTACGAAAAATCCATAAATTAGAGACTTGTGGCAAGTCTATACTAGTAACAGCAGTTAAAAAATCCATCTCTTGATAGAGCTACTCGCGGCGCTGTTTTCCACCTGCGGAGTGTACATGTAGCCTTTTTTCTGCATTATTATTTTTAATTAATTTTATTTATTAAAATTATTTATTTATTTTTTTTAATTTTTAAAAAATGTATTATGTTATTTCAATAACCTTTTAATTTAAAAAAAAGGTGTTTTAAGCAAACTATCATTGATTCAATTATTAACTGTGTTGCCTACTGTTTATGGTCAACTGAAAACGTCCGTTTGTACAACAATGACTCTCTAGGCCTAGGCGCCTAGTGTATTTTACCATTCAATATGCCATTCTGGAAGTGTTGCTGTTTTGGTTTATTGACATCTTGACTTGCCATTTGGTCTTGCTGTTTTGATCCATTGGTCTAAAAGTGTTTTGGTTTTTTGTTGTTTTGGTCATTGCCATTTTGACTTATTATTATTGATGTTTTGTTTTTTGCCGTTTTGACCTGTTACCTGTTGGTGTCACTACCAAATCAAATGACCGATGCTGGACATAGGCCTATGCGTCACTATACAACATTCCCACTGTTTATTTTTGGAGCAGGTCAAAACAGCAAAAAACCAAAACGTCAAAATCTAATTTTTGTATATTAAATGTTATAAAGATCGCCGTGGCTAGAGATACGGTACCGTATTTCTACTTCAATTTGCTAAAGGTACGGTAAATGGCATTACGTCACCATCACCCAATGAAGTGCCAGAATGTGCGTGACGTCATTTTTCAAGACTGGCACTGCAGATCACCCACAATGAGCGGTGAAACGAGAACGATGTACAGTAAGAAACTAGAACATCAAAAAGTACAATATTGTTTGACTTAGTACTGTTATCGATAAATAGGCTTATGGTTCCATTTAGTAAAGAGTTTCATTTAGCTAGGCATATGTATTTAACCATTATCAAACAAGGCCGGTCTTTGCACCTTAAATTGCGGGTAAACGGAAGCAGTGATGTGGGTTATGGTCGTTTTTCTGGTAGCCTTTAGTTTAAAAGGATAAGCTTTTTCATGGTTTTCACAAGCGCCTTGAGAACTTTAGTGGAGATGTGCGCTTAATAAATCTTATTATTATTATTATTATTTATTATGATTGATTCCACCAATTCTTGGCATGCCTCTAGGCCTTGCTTAAATTCTTCGCTTGGCGAAAAATCTATGCAAGCAAGGCCTGCTCGGCCTTGCTTGCATTCTGCTTTTCGCGGCAGCTGCTCTGGTGACATTGATCTGAGTGGCGTAGGCCTATCAGTCATAAATTTAGCCTAGTTCCTCCGTGATCATACAGTCTGAACTTCATAATCCCTACATCCCAAGTTTTAGTCTAAGAAGCTCGAATAATACCACGCTTTACAATCCCACCAAAATATTCATACAATTTGAATGCACAAAACTTTTCTTAGGGCTACAGAATCTAGGCCTAGATCGAGAGAATGAGTTTCCCCTTCGTGATTATTACTATTGAGTCAAATTTTTCCATTAATTTTGATGAAGACCTTAAAACAATACTACGGTATATAAAATGCTAGGAGGCCTTATGAATTTTCTTGTTTTAGTATATTCAGTTTTTAGTGCTTGTCATGTCACCAGTGGTGGCGCCAGAGGGCCTAGCCCCCCCCCCCCCCCGGTCGGGGAAGACGATAAATTTTGTCGGGGAACAAACAAATAAAAATAAATATTTACATGTAATATTCGTTTAGCCACCATATTGTTTGTGTTAACTTTTCATCACAACAACAATAACAATCTATAACAATAATAATAAAAATAATAATAATAATAATAATAATAATAATAATAATAATAATAATAATTCAATGAGACTGATTAAAAATAATTTGCGTTCTGTTATGACAAATGCTCATTTAGATAGCCTCATGATGGTTGGAATACATCGTGATAGGTGAAGCAACCTCGACCATGACAGCATGGTTGACAGATTTCATGCAAAATTTCCAAAATATAGAATTTCACTTTCAAGAATGAGGATTTGATAACAAATTAGATGGTTACATTGCATACTCTTTGTTTCTTGCTTTATTCAAAATGTTTTGGTTTTAGAAGCTGATTTCAACATTAGAAAGCATAGCCTACATGAAGTCATATTATAGTAACTCGATGCCTATCAAATAAGTAAATAAAAATTCGCCATAATTCATCAAATATAATTCATCAAATATCCGTGG